GCTCCACTTGGTTTCTCTCTCTCGCAGTGGGCTAGATGGTGACGTGGGTATCCCATGCTTAGAAAGGTTGGAGACCACCGTTCTAAAAGATCAATCAGAGCAGCAGCTATCTTCCTTGTAGTGCAGATAATAAGGCCTCAAAGTGCAGACTAGGCCGTACCTGCATCCCATAAAGTGAAGAGAGGTTTGCCTCTGAGGTCATGTCATGTTTATAAGGCTTGCTGCACCTCTGTCCCTTTTGGGGCCTCTCTGATGTCGGTTGTGACGCTCCTCTGGCCAGCACATGAAGGCTGTGTCTAGACTACATGCCTCTGTCGTCAGAGGCATGTAGATTAGACACATAGGCAAAGGCAAATGAAGCCGCGATTTAAATGATCGCGGCTTCATTTACATTAACATGGCTGCCGCGCTGAGCCGACAAACAGCTGATCAGCTGTTTGTCGGCTCGTGCGCTAGTCTGGACGTTCCCCCTGTCGACATCAAAGCCCTTTGTCGGCAGCCCCGTTATTCCTCGTGGAATGAGGTTTACCAGGGCTGCTGACAAAGGGCTTTGATGTCGACAGGGGGAATGTCCAGACTAGCGCGCGAGCCGACAAACAGCCGATCAGCTGTTTGTCGGCTCAGCACGGCAGCCATGTAAATGTAAATGAAGCCGCGATCATTTAAATCGCGGCTTCATTTGCCTTTGCCAAAACAACAAATCTACATGGCTCCGTCGACGGAGCCATGTAGTTTAGACGTACCCATCGGGTTGAACAGAAGACCTCTAGAGCCAAAAGGGTGAGCAGCTACAGACTGTTGTGCTTTTCATTTCTGTCTACTCATTTTCCACCTGCTATCTTGCCTTCATGTCCATGTTCCATATTATCATCCTTCACATCCATGCAATGTATTCATTTAGCTTTTGTGCCATACCTACATTACCTTTACTATGCACTCTATCCACATTGCATAACTGCCCAGCTTCCTTCTTCTCTTTTTATTTATATAACTAAACAACTTATTATTTATTCAAATTGACTTGGAAAGAACTACTTCAGCTTGATTTGCAGCAATTCTCAATGTATTCTGATAGGGTATGTCTACACTGCAAAGTTAATTAGAAATAACAGCCGTTATTTCGAATTAACTTTAACAGCGTCTATACATGCAAACCGTTATTTCGAAAGTAATTCAAAATAGCGGAGCCCTTAATTCAAATTTGGTAAACCTCATTCTATGAGGAGTAATGCCAAATTCGAAATAGTTATTTTGAATTAAGTGCTGTGTAGACACTTAATTCAAAATAGGGGGCCTCCACCCCGGGTGGCCACTTTGGGCACAACCAGGAAAACTTACTCTCCTCTAGCCTAGCCCTGGAGCCATTAAAGGGGTAGACTCTGGTCACACGACTGTGCCAACTCCAAGCATGCCAGCCCTGAGCCAGCAATGGCCACCGGGGCCCCTGACCCAGTGGCCCCCAAAACATGAGCCAGCAAGCCACTGGCAGGCACCCCTCCACCGCTCCCCAGGAGTAGTCTGCCAGCTCCAAGGAGCCTGACAGGGGCTGGAGAAGGTGGGCACCTTCCTGGTCCAGGGTGGAGATCATGGACCTTATTCAGGTTTGGGGGGGATGCCCCCACCATCCATGATCTTCACACTAGACAGAAGAATGTGGCCATCTATGGCAGGATAGCTTCCAGCCTGGCCACCAAAGGCCACATGCGAACCCAGGAGCAGGTTTGCATGAAAATCAAGTTAGTCCGGCGAGACCCCCAACCTTCCCCCTTCTTCCCCTTGCTTCCCCCTTCCAGCTCCCTCTTCCCAGGTTTCCCCCTCCCCTCTCTCACCCTTTCTCTTCCCCTCTCCCACCTCCTTTTCCCAGTCTCCCCAGAGGTTCATTCCCTCCCCCCCCAGTTCTGTTCAATAAACCCAGTTTCTATTTTTGAACATACGTGTCTTTTGTTTGACATCAGGAAGGGGGACTAGGGAGGGGTACGTGGAAGGACATGAGGGAGGAATGGGGCACAAGCCCCCACTGGGGAGGACCGGGGTGGCTCTGAGGGCTCCTCGGGTGGATGGTCTCCCGCAGGGCCTCCTGGATCCTGACAGCCCCCCGATGGACCCCCCCCCCGGATGGCAGCCTGCAGCAAGTGCAGCTGGGCTGATGGCAACGACCCCACGAGAAGCACCGGCGTGCCCAGGGGCAGCTCTGGCTCCATGTGGCCGAGGGCTGTGGTGCCCCCCGGTGGCCCCCCCCCCCCGGGTTGGCAGCCTGCAGCAAATGCAGCTGGACTGATGGCAATAACCCCACAAGACACACCAGCGTGCCCAGGGGCAGCTCTGGCTCCATGTGGTCGAGTGCTGTGGTGTCCTGAGTGCGGGCACTCAGGGCACTCCAAGTCAGGACTGCTTTGCTGTCCCTCATCGAGGTAGACAAGGAAGCAGGGAACCCTGAGAACCGTCTGTTTGGGGTGGGGATAGGGTCCCTTTAAGCACGGAGCTCAGATACCCTCAGGCAGCAGCCCCACACTCTAAGTCCTAACCTGATGCCCTGCCGGCACTGGTTCTGGCCAGCCTTAACTTCAGTTCAGGGTCCACTCAGTGTGGACGTGCTATTTCGAAATAGCAAAACACTATTTTGAAATAGTTTTTTTGTATAGATGCGTTATTTAGAATTAGCTTAATTCAAATTAACTATTTCAAACTAAGTTAACTCGAATTAACGCTGTAGTGTAGACATACCCTCATTTTTCTAACCTGCAAGATATCAATTTCTTTGCTGATCAATCCCCTTTTCCATTCCTTTTAGCCTCTGTGGTTACTCCTAATAACTTTTTGACATGCTCATTAATCTAGCTGTCTCCAGCTTCTTTCCCTGCAGAATTTTCCATCTTGCTTGGAATGCAAATTGCTGGTAGCTTTTGTATGGCTGATTAATGTGGAAGAGGCTTGTAATTTTTTAAAAAGTCCTTGAGCACTTCAGAGTCTTTATCAAAATGCTTCCTTTCAGTAAGATCAAAACATTTCTTTTTGACTAACATCCCATAAAACATAATATAACATAACATAATGTAAAAGTCAAAACTATAATGCCAAAATGAATTTTTTTACCTCATTGAATTAGTTAGATAATTTCCTATAGAAAAGTCCAACTAATCAGATACAATATGGGAGAGGGAGGGGGACTAATTTAATCATAATTACTCAAGAGAGAGATCTTGGAATCATTGTGGATACTTCTCTGAAAATATCTACTCAGTGTGCAGCAGCAGTGAAAAAAGCAAACAGAATGTTAGGAATCATTAAAAAGGGATAGAGAATAGGAGAGAGAATAACGTATTGTCTCTATATAAAACCATTGTACGCCCACATCTTGAATACTGCGTGCAGGTGTGGTTGCTTCATCTAAAAAAAAAGATATATTGGCATTGGAAAAGGTTCAGGGAAGGGAAACAAAATGATTAGGGGTTTGGAACAAGTCCCCTATGAAGAGATATTAAAAAGACTTTGCAGCTTAGAAAAGAGGAGACTAAGGAGGGTGGAGAGTGGGACATGACAGAGGTCTATAAAATCATGACTGGTGTGGAAAAAGTGAATAAGGAAAAGTTATTTACTTGTTTCCATAATATATGAACTTGGGGGTCACCACATGAAATTAATAGGTAGCAAGTTTAAAACAAACAAAAGGAAGTTTTTCTTCATGCAATGCACAGTCAACCTGCGGAACTCCTTGCTAGAAGATATTGTGAAGACTAGGACTTTAACAGGAATTAAAAAGAGCTACAAGGTTAGGTCCATCAATGGCTATTAGCCAGGATGGGTAGGAATGGTGTCCTTAACCTCTGTTTGTCCGGAAATGGGTGACAGGGGAGGGATCACGTGATGATTACCTGTTGTGTTCCCTCCCTCTGGGGCATCTGGCATTGGCCACTGTCGGCAGACAGGATACTGGGCTAGATGGACCTTTGGTCTGACCCAGTGTGGCTGTTCTTATGTAGTCTTCTTATTAATGGGGCCTCTGACTTTTTCTGGGAGAATCCTTTGTGCTGCAATCTAGCCCTAGAGACTACAACTCCCATGAGCCCAAGAGGAAAATGGAGGAAGTGTGGGCACGTCTGGGCATTTTGGGGAAAAGGGAGGCTCTCCATTTTTGGTGAGAGGAGCCAGGTTGCTGGTGTGGAGCCAGTTCCAGGCCAGGAGCTGGTGTGCTGCAGCTAGAGCCTGTAACTGAACCTGTTACTGTTACTGCTGGGGCTTGGATCTAGCAAGCTGCTTTGGGGGGCTGCTGTTGATTGTCCCTAGAGGGGAGAGATCCTGGTTGTGCCTGTGGCTGGAAAGGGCCTACATAAACCTGCGCTTTGGGAAAGTTATAAAAACCTACACAGGAGGTGACTGCAAGTAACTGTGGCTGTTTGGAAAAGTGCTGCCTGGGATGGAGCACAAAAGACAAACTGATTCTGGGCAGATCACAGGGAACCAGAACTCCAGGCATTTTGTGGGGCCTTCTCCAGTGTCAGGGGGATTTTGAAGTTGGCTGCTCAGCTTGGACTAACACACACAGAACCTGCGCAGCACTGTCCCCTCTCCAGCTGCAGACCTTCAAGCACGCCCACGCAAGTGCCTGGGACTCTGACTCCAGAGGAGTGCATGCTCTGAGGTGGGATAAATGGTGGCAGTGCAAATGCCAGATGGATAAGTTTCCTTTGTGTACTTCTTAATTGATTCTGTTCACTTTTAATTTGTTAAGCCCGGGTTCTTTAAGTTGTTAAGTAAAGGTGTGTTAATTCTAATTTAATCAATGAGCTATAGTTTATTTTTTATAATTGTTGTCTTGGAGTTAGTTCCAGGTTATTACTGGAATAATTTTATTCATGGAGGCTCCCAAGGCACACCATTAAGTGTGTACAGGGCCAGCCACGTGGAGGCACCGCCATTGCATATGTCTTTAGGAGCAAGGAACTGCAGCAAGGGGGTGGATAGGGAATCCCCAACTAAACAACATCACCACTGGAGTACTCAGGATCTCCTTTTGTGTTAAAACCATCAGGCGCCCAGGCACACATGTGAGTATGACTTGCTCCTGAGTAACCCAGGGAGGAAAAAGGGGGGTTACACTTATGCAGTCCCATCAAATGATTTCATTTTCACTGCATCAGCATTGTTTGGTGGCAAGCTGTTTCACTGGAAAATTTTCAACTGGATTTAAATAGAAAAGATGAAAATTTGGTTCACCAGGTGTTCACATCTATATATTTAGCCTTCTGAGAGGGATTTAATCAGTTTCACCATCATGTTGTCAGAATCACCCGACATATACGTGTTCATACCAGAGTTGAGAGTCAAACCCAGCACTCTGTGTAGGGCGAGTGGGTCATCTCTGTGAAAGTGCCTCCATCTTCAACTGGTATCAGAATTGTAGAAGCCAGGTTGAAGAAATTATAGCCAAACGATGAGTGGCATAAATGAAAGTGCCATAAAGTGGACCTCTACACATATGTACGTCCCCATGCAGGGCACCAGACCAGGATGTGGGTGATGTGACTCACATTCATTTCTCTTTATCCCAGACTTCTTGGATGACCTTGCACAAGTTAATTAATCTCTTGATCTCTCTCTTCACAGGCATAAAAAGTGGAGATGATAGCACATTGCTAGCTGTTAGGAATAGTGTATGGGTTAGTATGCTAAAGAGTTTGATTCGATCAATTACTATGGTGATGGTGACCTTAGAAATACTGACTAAAGGTAGAACTGATATGCAATGAACACCACCTTTCTAGGCTGTTAGTAGCTTATACCTCTCGAATATCTAGTGGAAAGGTTTTCGTGGTGGAAAGTTGGTTGATCAGGCCAGTCACTTAAATTATTAGACAGAACAAGACATGGCACCTTAGCACCTTCTCTGTAAATGTTTATCTGGAATTCTTCCATAACTTGATGGCCACCAAGCTCTTGTCAAAACCCATAAGCCAGTGCGACACAGCAGTCTGAAGCAACTCAGTCCATCATGGCTGGAAAGAGAAATGGGAAGATCCCTGTAGAGACTTTATTGTAGGACATTAGGAAAATTCTCTCCTCCAGAAAGTGCCAACATTGTTTCTCAGCTATCATTCTGAGCTATGTCAGGATTTAATGGTTGCTAGGGTGTTTCCCTGAAACAGCTTAATGTACATGAGCCAATTCTCTATCTTCCGAATTACATTGCAGTAGGTAAGCCAAATGTCCCATGTTTCTTACCTGTTTGAGCAGAGGTCTTCCAAGCCTTCCTCTTTCATTAGTTGGCTGTTGGTGTAGGTGGAGTAATGTTAAGAATGCTACTGTAACTGAGCCTACCACAGGGTAGCACTAGGAAGGCAGGTATGTACCATTCTCTCCTAGATATCTGGTAGTCTGCTCTTTGTAGCACAAACCGAGAGGCTAGCATGGAAGACACGCTTGCTCTCACTAGGTTCCCGCTGAACACTGACAAGCTTTAGGAAATAGAGGATAACTTACTGAGATGGAAAGAGATGACCCAATGCAAATACCCATGACATAATAGCTTAGGCTAACAAAGAGAAGTAGCCCCTCAGTCCATAGGGGGCAGACTAACAGAGGAACACAAGGTAACGGTGCCCCCTGGATTTCCTCCGTGCTAGTACCCTGATAACACTGAAGCGTAAGATTTGATGAACTCTCAATATGATCGAGCAGGGAGCCCTGCTGCCCACCCCCACACGCAAACCCACTCAGAAGTTCATCCACTTATCTTTTCCCTTTCATTCCAACGTTGGGGCTGGGTGAGATGTGGCAATGACAGAGTCTTTGTCCCATTTGCCCTCCCCTGAGCCTCTCAAGGGACATGTTGATCGAGACAAGTAGCCTTCTTGATGGCTTGCAGAAAGTTAGCACGCAGAGAATCTACCAGACTTCTCCACACAACGTGCACTGTTCACCATCAGTTTAACCCCACCATGCCCACTCCAGCAACCATCCCTTTCTAGCAGCTCTCACATCCCCTCTGAGAGTCTTCGTCGGCCAACTGCTATCTTCAGAGCTCCCTTCATTTCCTTGTTCCTTAGGCTGTAGATCAGTGGGTTGAGCATAGGAGTTATGATGGTATAAAACACAGCAATTATTTTGTCCATGCCCCTTGAGGACTTCGACTCGGGCCGCATGTACATGAAGATGGCTGTCCCATAGAAGATGGCCACCACAGTCAGATGGGACCCACAGGTGGAGAAAGCCTTGGCCCTGCCACGGGCATATTGGATCCGCACAATGGCTGAGAGGATGTGGCCATAGGAGATGACAATCAGGAGGAAGGGGAGGAAGACTATGAGTATGCTGAAGATGAAGACCACCATTTCTGTGAGGGAGGTGTCAGTGCAAGCCAAGGTCAACACAGCCGGCACCTCACAGAAGTAATGGTTCAAGGTGTTAGGCCCACAGAATGGCAACCGTAGGGTGAGAATGTTGATTGCCATGGAACTCAACAGACTGCAGATCCAGGAAGCGGCAGCCATCTGAGCACAGAGCTTCCTGTTCATGATCACAGCATAGTGCAGTGGGTGACATATCGCCACGTAGCGGTCGTAGGCCATGACGCAAAGCAGGACACACTCAGTCATGCCTGGTGGAGAGGTTCACCAGCAACTGGGGGACATTGGTGGAGATGTAGCAGATGTCTAAGAAGGACAAGTTGCTGAGGAAAAAGTACATGGGGGTGTGGAGCTGAGGGTCAGCTCTGATCACGGTAATTATGATGATATTCCCGACTATCGTCAACAGATAGAAAACCAGGAACACCACAAAAAGACTAGTCTGCACTGTTGGCTCACTGGACAGACCTATGAATACAAATTCAGTCACAAAGCTTTGGTTTTTCTGCTCCATTTTCAGTGCATCTTTCATCTGCTAAGATAAGGAAAAGGGTCAAAGTTACGTCAAACGTATTGTAAGCAAAGCAGACAATAGCACCTCAAATTGTGCCTCCTTGTGGGGCAGCTGCCAACCTATAATGTTGTTCACCATGAGCAGCGAGTAGCCTTGTGTCTACACTATGCAGAGTGCTGAGAAGTGGTGCAGAAACACTAATGGGGAACATTGTCTCATGGCAGGTTTGTCCGCATCTTTGCTTAGGCTGGTTGTGTCAAGATGTATCTGCAATAACTTTGGTAGAGTTTCTCCTGATTTACATCAAGCTATGTCATACCAAAAGCCCAATTTCACCCTCCTTTCTTAAAAAGCAGTGTGGGAAATTGCCACAGCGGGAAAATAGTAGATTGAAAGCTCTAAAGGCGGTACCCTCTCATAATTAAAAGAGGTCCTATATAGACACCATTATTATTATTATTTATTGCATGTATTGTGGGGCCATGTAGAAGCTCTAGTCACACACATGTATAATCCTAGTGATACGTGATGAGGCTACTGTTGATTTTTGACATCTGCTACATCCTTTACAGTTACACAATGATATGGCAGTGTAGATTAGACCATACGGCCATAAAAATACCAGACTGGGTCAGACTCCAGGTCCACTTAGCCCAGTATCCTGACTTCCAGCAGAGGCCAATGCCAGGTACTTGAGAGGGAATGAACAGAAGAGTTAATCATCAAGTGTTTCATCCCGTCACCCATTCCCAGCTTTTGGTAAATAGAAATGGAGCTAGAAAGCCCTCTCTTCCACAAAATATCAATTTCCTGTTTTCTCTACATAGTACCCACTTTACAAGATATGTCCTCAGGTGAAGACCTGTTCATATTTTAGGGTTCTTTTTCTCCAGATGCCTGATCCCTAGACTACTTTGTACTGCATTTCAATGCTTACCTGATTTAGGTAAGTTCAGGCCAAAATTCCTTCAATGGCCTAAATATCTTTAAAAATCTGGGAGTCGGTGACATCACAACGTAAGTTTCATTGACCTGAGACATCTCACCAAATGAGGATTTTTTGAACATCTCACCTTGACAGAGTATTATTATAAACAAAGTGCATCCGACTGCTTTTCATTTGCACATTTCATAGAACCTTACAAAGATTAAACAAAAGACAGGACTATGCAGCACTTTAAAGACTAACAAGTTGGTTTATTAGGTGCTCCCATCACCTAATACGCCATCTTGTTAGTCTTTAAAGCACTGTATAGTTCTTTCTTTTGTTTCAATAAGATCAGACTAATATGGCTATATCTCTATTACTATCTTACAAAGATGGGCACCAAAGTTCCCTCTAATCTTTCCCATCCATGTGTAGATTTTTTCCACCTGTGTGTGGAATAATTTTATGTAAATTGAGGCATGTGCAAATGTGCGCCCCCTATAGAAACATAAAACCTAGCTGTGGGCACTTTGCTAATCATCTGGTCAGCATTTGAATTTCTCCTCAGTGGCTGCACAAGTGCATAGGTTACTGGGAACCCTGATGAGCACCATCATTTCTATTTCACAGATGGGAAAATGGAGAAACAAAGAAATGCCATGATAGAGCCTGAAAGACCCTGGGTCAATGTTGGAAACATCCCTTTATCATGGTAAAACTGACATTAGTGATAAAAAAAATTAGACTTACATGCATTCTTCTTCTAACTACAGAATAAAATGCAGAAACATCTGTATGATAAAGACATTCCTATATACATGTGTCAGAAGGTTGAGGAAGGTCAATTGTTTACCTGCAACTGCGCAATCTGTACAAGGGATAAAAGCAATCAGAAAACAGGTACCAAAGATGGTAGCAAGAAGAAAAATCTGATAATTATAGACAAGAAATAAATGCACATAGGCATTAGGTCTCTATCAAGTTTTTTTTACCTGAGCACTCAATCGATAGCAAAAGATGGTGCGGGGGAAATTGAAATCCTGCTAGGCTGAGTCGCAGACTTTATAACAACTTTCAAATGCCAGAGAGATCTGGTCCCAGAGAGAATATTGCAATTATGGATCCTAAGTTTAGCAAACCACCTGCTAATTGCAAGTGCTTCGGTCACAGGACAATTTGTCCAGGAGCAATGTTTTGAAAGCAGCGATGTGACTTTTCAAAACATTTCATTAATTTTTCAGACCACGTTAGTGCCGCAGTGCCTGATGCTTTTTCGTTGGTAGATGTGTAGCTTTGAAGAGCAGAAGGGACTATTAGACCACCTAGCTTGATGTGCTGTATCATCCAAGCCACAGAACTTCTTCCGGTCCACCCTGTCTTGAGCCCAATCATTAATGTTTGATGTAAACATTTTCCAGAAAAGCATCCAGTCTTGAACTCACAAGATGGAGAAGCCACCACTTCTCTTGGTAGTTTGCTCAAATGGTTAATCCCCGCTCATTATTAAAAGCAGAGCCATTCCGCCCATTGGATGGCTTGGGCCAACAATGGATTCACCACCTATACTGGGAGTCCCAAAACTGCCCTCTCTGAAATGCTGGCGATATCTTGACTTCCGGGGGGGGATCAGACCGGGGGAGGGTGCGTCTCAAGAGTCTGTTTATTTTGCAAAGATCTGTAACTCTCTGGTGCTTTGAAAGACCCCAGGGTTAAGAAATTCTTTTGCTGTGTCCTTCATGTTCCTGCCACATTACTTCTATAAAGGATTCAAAGAGAAGCTGTGACGGACCGGGCCGTGTCTGGGCACAGCTGAGGGCGTCCGCTCAGGGCGAATTGCTCAAATTCTTACAGCCCCCAGACTGGTGACCTCTCCAAACAGGCCACGAACCAGTCCCACAGAGTGCTCCAGCAACCTGCCTGAAGCCTCCCGAGCAAAACCCCTCCGACTCCCCAGCAATATCCATGCCCCAGCTGGCCCCGGGCCTCATACACAGGTGGGGGGTCCTAGCACCCAATTCCACCTACCCCAAACAAGTCCTGTCCGGTTCCAAGAAACCAGCTACAGATCCCTGGTCAATTTACCCTTTGGACCTTTCCCACAAATCACGCTGAGCCAATCCTTTAGCATCTAACAACTACAGGTTTATCATTACAATAAAGACAAGCATGAGAGTAAGGTTGTTAAAGGAATAGTACGTTACATGCACTGAATCTCCCAGTTCTCGATGCAGGCTCTAGCAGAGATGTCACAGCTGCTGGTTAAAAGTTCTTGTTGCGCATCCTAGGATCAGGATGGGTTCACAGGTGTTTCGGGCTCTTCGATCCCTGCAATGCTGCCTCTGGGATGAAGTGCTGAGCTGAGAACAAGATGGAGACCACCACATGGCCTATTTATCCCTCCTTTCTCGTCTCTTCTTGGCTATAGCAGGTCACCTGGTCCCCGGCTTATTCCTGTGTTCACTGCTGGTGGCCTTTAGGTTTGAGTCACCACTCATTCCTTAGGTGTGTTCTTGGCCCATTGAGTGCCATTGTCCCACAGGGCCTTGCTGATTAGTATGTCCATAGGCTGGGCTCTGCCCACTGCTCAACTACATGCAGAGAAATATTCAGTATCTACACAGATTCCTAACTACACACACAGACATTACACAATCATATGACTAGTGTACATAGGATCAGCAGACAGTAAGCTCCTATTCAATACTTCACATGGCCCCTTCTATACCATTTTTGGGGCCAACACCCCCACCTAAGGGTGCATCAGTGAGCTGGCTGCTCCCTTCAAAATCCAGTAACGTGACAGAAGCCCAGAGAGCCCACAACCTAGATCGAGCTCTGGCATAGCACATGTAAGCAGCTCAAGGACCTGGGAGGTTTTGGACACCTTTTACAGATCTAAGGAGGCTAGATGGCAGCCACAGGCATTGAATGAAAGCCAAGCTGGGGAAGGTAAGACTGAGGCCCCACCCTTTCTGCCTGATGCCTCACCCCTTCTGTAACCTCTTCCCCCTGTGGAGTCAAGCCAGGCCCCCACCCCAGGTTACTGCCCCCATCCCTGTGCCCCCACCCGTCCCAGGTGGTCAGAGACATTCTGCAGCACCAGCCTTTTAGAGCAGCTGGTGGAGAGAGTAGACAGTTTTGGGAAGGCAATACCTTCCCTTGCCTACATCACTCACAGCTTATTATTGCAGTCGTTTACTGTCCAGGAATGAGGGTTAGATAAGAGGTCTGAAATTGGGAGCATGCTGTAGGGACGTAGCCCTGTAAACAGCATCTTGACCCAGACCTGGTTGCCATGGAAACACATAGGCCTCTGTGACTGGGTCCATTGACAACGGATCGGTGGCAGCACCAACGAGCCAGTTTGCAACTGAGCTTTGTGACAGAGTGAGATAGGCCCGTGCCAAATTGTGTCATCCATTTTGCATGCCGGTGTCGAATCATGTGGCCCCTCTTGTATTCTGACTTCGTTTTTCAGCCCATCACTGAAAACAAATGAACAATACGAACTGCAGTGTGAGCTTGTCTAGGAGAATCTGGTTTGTCCCTTGAGAGCCATCAGAGATCATGACCTCAGACTGTCTCCCAATTATTGGCCCGCACCTGAAATAAAGTGTTTTCTACAGGAGGGAATATCGGTACCGAAGCTGCCTACCAGATTGGGTCACATTCAAAACCTGGCTGGAGGAGGTGTTGCCCACCTTGTAGCTCTTTGCCCAATGAGCTAGGGCCCTCACTGGGAATGTCAGACACTCTGGTTCAATTCCCCGCCCGCCTTCAGGAGGAAGACGGTGTTAAGACGGGAGCTCTGGGATTTTGAGGTACAGCGCTCCCTTGAGCTCTGCTGTTGAAACGATTCCATTTCAGACAGCCAATGGAAGCGGGGTACCGGACTCTCAATATTTCATTCCCAGCGAGGTGCCCATATCAGTGGGAGCTTTCTCACATTCTTGTGCGGTTCAATTCCCCGCCCGCCTTCAGGAGGAAGACGGTGTTAAGACGGGAGCTCTGGGATTTTGAGGTACAGCGCTCCCTTGAGCTCTGCTGTTGAAACGATTCCATTTCAGACAGCCAATGGAAGCGGGGTACCGGACTCTCAATATTTCATTCCCAGCGAGGTGCCCATATCAGTGGGAGCTTTCTCACATTCTTGTGCGGGCTAC